CCCCCCCCCATGCCATCTTATTGCGTTCAATCCCATCTTCCCACTGAGCAAGCTGTCGCCTTGGCAACAGCTCACAGTTACCAGTGTCTTGTGTAAAGCGCTGAGCCCGTGTGATATCAAACACCGAGCGACACAGCAACACTCCACCTTCGGCAGGCCAGAACACACACAGAAGTAACATAGTAACGGTGTCATTTTACCTGTATCTTGACAGCGATAATAACAGAACTGAGTTCACGGTCCAGCTCTTTCAGAACGATCAGCTTCTTCAGCGTCAGACTGCACAACCTGAGAGACAGACAAATAGACAAATACAGGATTATTAGGTGTCATTTACACATCCTCATGGTTAAATCAGTCCCCAGTTATGATTTTCTGCTTCAAACTGATTTATTTGTGACATTGTTCACATGACATTTTAAATGTGGATGCTCCAAATTGTGTAAAAACACTGTAAAAAAACAAAACAAATGGAGGCAGTGCAATCAAAGCACATGTTCAGAGGTCAGCATCAAATTGCATTTTGATTGATTGTGAGTCAAAAACAGGGCAAAATATTAATTGTTTAATATAACAAACAGTGTGTATCAGTGGTATCTAATTTACTGTCTGCCAGTTGAAAAGTGCAAGTTTGATTGCCTTGAAAATTAAAGCCCAAAGTATGCTTCAGTTTTTACGCATATGTGTACATTGCAAATGTAATTTTTCAGCATAGTACACAGGCTTGATTTTTTTCTTTAAGTAGTTTGTCCACAATGTGGCAGCACTGATTTCACAATCGAAAAAAGGAATAAACAGAACGACAACAAACAAACTGCTGGAGACTCGACAACAACAGATGTTTGCACTGACCAACATTTGTGCAAGGGGATTCAGAAATTCACGCTCTAGATTATACAGCATTTTATCATAACTTCTGGAGAGAAATAGCGCAGACACTGGACAAGGATAAAATTTTCTATTGGTCATATGTGGAGTGCCTGTGTTTGCACATGCTATCAAATAAAGTAGAGTTTGAAAGGCTATATATTTGGTTGTACGCATACGTTAAGCTTTCGTGTCAAAACTTAAGTATATTTTGGGCTTTATGTGCATACAGTGTGCATGCTGTAAAATTTCATCTTAAACATAGTGCACATGTACTGTATGCACACAGGCTATTTTTTCTAACACCTCATACCTTGTTCGCTCGTCTTGCATTAGCGCCTTGATTTTTTTGCAATAAATAGTTTGCCCGTGCCGTTGTTTCACAGTCAAACGAAATGGAAGTGACAAAACAACAACAGCTGCTGGAGACTCAACAACAACAGCTGCCCATGTCGACAAATCCTCAGGTTCAGAAATTCACACAATTTAAAAGAGCACTTAGATGTTTTCATGATTCGTAACTTCTGGAGAGAAATAGCTCAGACACTGGACAAAGACAACATTGTCCGGTGTGCACCTGTGTTTGTGCATGCTGTGAGTTCGGCAATATCAAAATAAGAAGATTTTGATCCTGGTAAAGAATAGGGCTGTCGTGATAACCGCAATATCGCAATACCGCGCTATTGACGAGCAAACTGCAGAGGAATGCAAGAACCGCAGCAACCGGGATTTTTGCGTGTTTTATTTTTTCGTAAGGTTATGCCCTTCTCGTTTTACACTTCATGCATGTGGACTAAATATTAAACAAGTTAGTAATGATAACATAATGTGTACCATGCTGATTTGTACAGAGGCTCAGTAGATTTGCAAGCCTAAACAGACAGTGAATGAGAGAGAGATCGACTGAGCGCGTGCGATTACTTGCGTCTGTCCTCCAGGCCGAGTCATATATATTTGTGAAAATAGGTTGTCATGTCCAAGGAAAGCGAAATCTCTGTCTTAGCATCGACGCATAGCTGGTCAGCTGAGCCTTCTAAAGTGGCGCTCAAAGTTAAAATGATTTCAACAGCGTGTTTCATTACGTCTCTTTGAATGAATGAATCAGCGTTTTTGAACGTGTAGTTGAATGACAGTCCCTTTCCACCACCTTGTGGCGCAACACTGGAACTGCACTGACTGACAGCCCGTCTAGAACGCGCGCAGGTGGAAATATCAATAGAAAGTCTCTTGTCCAGTCAGATTAGAAAATCAGATTACAACTAGGCTAACTGTTATACATATAGGCTAACGATAGCCTAACGATCTTATTGTCAGGTTTATGTTCTGTTATGTTGACCGTTATTTTGTCATTCTCTTCTGTTCACTTCCTGTTTCAACGCTATTTGGTTTCGGTTTCATTGTCTTCTGAATATGACCTCGTTAGTTATATCGTAACACATACACACAAATTATATATATATATATGGCGGTAATACCGCATACCGCGCTATTGAGCCACTCAAAATTACCGCAAGGGAAATTCCCTCACCGCGACAGCCCTAGTAAAGAAGTAAAATTGTCACCACTCGCCATCTTTTTCAAACACATAAATTGTTTTGATTGTTGTAGTGGTGTTGATGGTACATTGACATCCTAAAGAATATGGACTCTGCGGTGCTTTCAGAACATGGCTTTGTTTGTTTGAATGACATGTCAGTTAGCTCAACTAATAGCATGGTTTGGGGCAGGACTTCCTGTTTGGAAACAGGACAGGCTTTGGAAAGCCTGTTTGGAAACATTATTTTTGCAACTCCACTGCTAATGTTATAGGAACTACACACTTCACCTAAAGGGTGTGTTTTTAGCAGCCTGTCAGTGTGTAGGATTCAGGAGTTAAGCAGGTATGAACTCATTTTATGGTCTTCTGGGAGCCAATTACTCTGCCATCCTGAGCGTATATCTGGATCAATAATGCCTTTGGCCAGACAGGAGCCTGTGCTCTACACATCATCATGCCCTCAAGTAGCACAAAACCTGGTAGGTTTCGACTGAAATTCATATGAATCTGTTTTATCATTCCTCGCATTTAGTGAAATATCAAAATGTGTTCGTGAACTGCGCTTCAATTTTCTGTTACATCTGAAATGAACATTTTCGGAAATGAAAATGTAAGGAACATGTATTTGAAAGGAGCCTTTGAACTTCAAATACCACCCAGCCGACACTTTCATCCTGGAGATTTCTTCACCTTCACGTTCCAGTAACTGGGAATGAGTCTCATCCTGAGATTCACACCCATACACACGCACACACCTCGATTTCTCTGTCCTGTATGACTCACCCTCTCTGAGGACTGAAATATCTCACTCTTGATTTTTTTTTTCCCCTCAGTATTTTCACTCCTTTCCTCTTTGTAAACCCAGCTCGGGTCTCTAACTCTACAACAAAGACACAACCACACACACTAATGACACTTTAGTCCTACATTAAAGATGTCATTCATCCTATAATTTCACTTTTGGTCCATTATCCACTTATGTCTTGAATAAACAGACATAATTTCATTAGTATTTTCCATGCTTTCTATGGCCTTTAGAATTAAAACAGGTTGTTTTTGCTACTGCACTTTTAAGTCTTTTACATGTAAATGAGCTCTGTTATGATTGGCTAACCTCTACACATATGAAATGAACAGTAGATCATGATAGTTGTGAAGTTGTAACCATAAAGTTACATGTAAATGAGCTCTGTTATGATTGGCTAACCTCTACACATGTGAAATGAACAGTAGATCATGATAGTTGTGAAGTTGTAACCATAAAGTTTTTTTTTTTCAACTCGTTTTGAAAATTAGATTTCACATCCTGACTTTTCAGAAGGATGAATAACAAGAACTCTATTTGTTTATGTATTTATTAAGGATGCACCAATACGATACTGGTATTGGCATCGGGCCTGATACTGCGCTCCTAAAACAATGCACAAGTTGCTAAAGTTACTTGACGGTAAGTAGAGAGAGAGAGCGAGAGAGCACACTTCTGTTACAGGTCTTGATTGCTGTTATTCGCTCACTTAGCACATGCATCATTTGGATTAAAACTAAATCACAAATATAAAATAAACAAATCATATTGGGGCATTCACTATAAACAACAATTATTTTAAATGTCAAGCATATACGACTTTATTTAAAGTGAAAATGAAACTAGCAGCCTGTATGAAATGCGCTAGGCTATATATGTCTCTCTCATTCTGCAGCAATACAAATGTGTGCGCGAGTTGTGCACGTTTTGCTTGCTTGACGATAATTGCATTATATGAGTCGCTTTGGAATATAAGTCGTAGCACATTTCAGATGATAAAAACGTGTCTTATATGTCAGTTCATCGCTGTTACAAGATTTATGTATAACAAGTGGTTCCCAACATTATTACAGGAAAACGTTGTGATTAAATTACTGTGCTGCAATGGAGCAGCTCTAATGTGCACTGTGCAATTAAATTAAAGATGAAACACCATAGAGCAATAAAATGAACAGAGAAAAAAAAACAAAAGTTTGTACAATACATTTTAACGGGCATAATTAAGTGAAAATAACTGAAGGAAATATCTATTTGCAATGTGAAGCCACCTAACATGATTCATATTCTTTTGGTTTCTGGACCCAATATTTTTTTAAATCACAAACGCAATGAAAATACAGGTATCGGTACTCTGTATCGACAAGTACTAAATATGAAAGTATCAGTATCAGACTCGTTCTGGAAAAAGTGATATCTGTGCAATCCCTAGTATTTATATTTTAAACTGGAAAGTTCGCTTTGAGGTGTGAAACTTGCAGTATGTTTTTATTGTTTAATGAAAATTTTTTTTTTCAAAGTTGCAAACAAGACGATTATTAAAGTACTTTATATTAACAGAAAATACTATAAAAATACTATTTCACTCTTTTTACTTCAACATTTCTGATTCAATGTGTTGCTTGCTAGTTGTAATTGTAAAATTTACCAGTGAAATTTACCAATTTCTCAGTGAAATCGTTTAAAAGTGAATCATACATTTTTTTTTTTTTCAGTGTAGAGTCACCTCTGTGAAATATATGATTATATCAAGGACATCTTGATTTTCCAGTTCATGACCCCTTTAAGCACTTTTATGTCCAAAGGTTCAACGAAAATCCCGTTTTCCATAAAGTGACCCCTTTAACTGGATGTGCAACTCTATTTGTAGTCCCATCATCCTCTCCTGCTCTTTATTCATGGCTCTGATGGAGAGCAGGCAGAGAAACGTTTATGCTGGGTCAGCTCAAAACACAACCACCCGACTGAAGCTATTCAGCACTGGCCATTGAAAGGCCCTGTGGCATGAAAAGCCCCTGGAACGGCCCAAACATTCCATGCCAGAGATCATGAGAAAAAGCCCAAACAGAGGCGCATTCACTG